GATTTTGGGGGTGCTGACTCTGGCCAAGGAAAGCCAAACCCCATCCCAGCCAAACCCCACCTGATGGTTTTCATTCCTATTTCCAGCAGTGCATTTGAACTGGGGATTTTCTCACCGTGTTTGCTGAAGCGGGGAGTGTGGGGTGGGATGGCCAGATTCCCATTGCTGCAGCGACAGGCTCCTCACCTGCCCTGCACATCTGTGGGGAGGGACACAGCAATCCCCATGGCTTCATGGCATGGCAGTGCCCTGATGGCAGGGAGGAGAGCAGAGGGGCTCCTCTCCCCATGCCAGACCGTGTGGCTGGGGCAGCTCTGGAGCAGCTCTGGAGCTGCCAGGAGTGGCTGTGAAACCCAAGCCTTGCAGGGACGGGACAGGGCCGGGCTGGCTCACACAGGCATTTCAGGGGCTGCAGGGCCCCTTCCCGGCGCAGCTGCCTCGGGAAGGCTGGGAGAGGGCTGGAAGGAGGCTGGAAGGAGGCTGGAAGGCGGCTGCCGACCCCTCTGGCAGTGTGACAGCGTGGGGTGGGCTCCCTCTGCACAGCCCCTGCCCCGGCACTGGCAGCAGCCCCAGCCAGTGTGCTGGAGCTCGGGAGAGGGGCTGGGGGATGTGTGCAGGGTGGGGGGCTCGTGTCCCCACAATAGAGGTGGCTAGGAAGTGACACTGATATTAATATTAACAGTACCAATAAGGGGATACCCTGAGCCGGTGCTGCGTGGCCCTGGTGCCTGGGAGGAGCAGCAGGAGGAGGAGGAGGAGGAGGAGGAGCAGGGGCTGTAACCAAGCCGTGCTCCCCGGAGGCCCCAGGGAGTTGGTGTGCAGTGGAGCAGGCGGGTCCCTCTGCTCCGTGACCTGGAAGTGGCTCCGTGTCCCCTGGGGTGCCAGCCCTGGTTGGGATGGGGGGAAGGAGCTCAGTGCCCGTGGTGGGTTGGGCAGTGCAGCACCTCTGTGTCGGTACTGAGGGGGTGGGAAACAGCTTGAAAGATCCGGAGAGGGGAGGTGGCAGGAGCTGGGATTTTATTTGAAGTGCAGTCTGCTTGTGGATTCCTGCAGTGTCCGAGCACATCAGAAATGTGGGAGCCACATCTCCAGGGTGACCTGTAGGGGCTTCACCTGTGCCAGGAGGGGCTTTCAGCCCAGGGGTGTCCAGGCTGGGCTCAGGCTGCTCTGCAAGCTGCCCCTTGCCCTGTGGTCCTGGCAGGATCAGGGTCAGGCTGTGAGGCATTGGTGGGATGCTGCTGCCTCTCCTGAAGTGATGGAAACATGAACCTCGTGCAGGTCTGGGGACGAGGGGGTGCTGGAGATGGCGGCCGGGCTGTGGCCACGCCGTGCCTGGCTGGGGCTGGGGCTGGAGCAGGGCTGAGCTGCACAGATGGAAGAGTGATTAAGAGCAATAAAAGGAAAGAGACTTGGATTCGCTACAGTCTCAGCACATTAATTGTGCTTTGGGGCCCAAATCATAACGCAGTCCTGCTAGAGGGAATCCAGCAGAGAAACCAAACATCTCGCTCTGGCCAAGGCTGACCATTTAAGAGACCCTTGCCTTCATCTCTTGCCAGGTATTACTTCCAGCATCTCCCATCTGCCAAAACCCGAGTTCTCCTTTGAAATATTTTTAGGGGAGGGAGAAAAGCTCTGGTGACACCGAGTGCTGGCGCTGGGGAGGCAGCAGGGACAGGACATGGCATTGCTGGCTTGGAGACAGGACAGTGGGGTTGTTGGGGATCTCAGCCATCTGTCCCAGCTCCATGCTGTGTGTCACTGGGCTGGATGGGCGTGTGGGATTCCAGGAGTGGAGGTCCTGCCTGGCTTCCATGGTGGCTGAGCATCTCCTCTGAATTGACAAGCAATTACATGGTTAATGGTATCACTGTTAAATCCTCATCACTCAGCAGCCCGGGGCTTAATGCTCCATTAGGGCAGAGGCATCTGATGGCTCTCTGGGCTGGGAGCAGCCTTTGGAAGTCACTGGCCAGAGGTTATTTTTGCTCTCCCAGTCCTACAGCCAACCTGCAAATCCATCCAAAATGGAGTAAGGCAGGAAAATGCTCCTGTGTGCTCAGTGTTGCTGGGTCTGCCTGGACTGAGCCTTGCTGGTGTGGCATGGGGAGGTGACAGTGTTGTTTGAGACCTGCCATTTCCTATTCCATGGCTATTCCCAGCTCCCTGCCTGCCTTCCTTCCTTGTGTCACAGCTCTGCCTCCTGCTGCTGCCCTGCAGCTGCCTCTCTGCAGCTCGGGGCTCTCCCAGCTCTCCTGCAGCCGTGCCTGTGGATTTAACATTTTCCTCTGTGGGTTGCTGACTCTGGATTCCATCGGCAGCTGAGGATTGCTGGTGTCACCACAGCTCGCCCTAACCGTGGCAGTGAGTGGCACAGGTACCTGAGGAATCCATCAAGTGCCACCCAGATCCCAGTCTGGATCCTCTGGAGCTGGGCTGAGCTGAGCCTGGAGCCTTCTGATGGAGCTTCTTCCACTGGGAAAGCAGGAAACAGGGCGGGAGGAGCAGCTCTTCATCGCTGAGCTTCACAGGGAATTGCACTGGAGGAGCCTTTCCCGATGGATCAGGGACCTGCTGCTCTCACATCACCCTGCCCTGCATGTTCACATCAAACTCACTGGACTCTGCACCATTTGGATGGATTTGGGGATTTTGGATTTTGACTTTTGGAAGCCCAACCAGCTGTGTGGAGCATCCAGCTTCTCTCTGGCCCATTGTGGATTTACACAGAATGTGGAAGCTCATGTCCTTGTTTCCAGAGGCTATTCCAAGACCATCGCTGTGGGTTTTACAAATGCTTTTCCCTTTTTTTGTTCCCTCAAGCAACTGCTTCATTTTTCCACATGGTTCCCTCTCAAAGCTACTTTCTCCCTCATCATTTCCATGGCTAGAACAAGAAGAAACTTTGTGTCCAAGTGTGGGGTGGGAAGAAGGATGCTCAGCTGTGTCCCTTCATCCATCCCTGTGGCTCCAGCTGCCATCCCTGTGGCTCCAGCTGCTCCCTCTGTCCCCTTTGGACCTTTAATATTTTTTGTTGTCTGTGGATGGAATGTCTTTGGAGAAACTGCTGCCTTTGTGGAGTCTTCTGGTTTCCCCCACTTGAACCACACTTGCTTGTTACACATTTTGTTATAATTAGTTAATTATTTATAAATCCTTGTGAGGCCTCACAGGGACTGGTTTTTACAGACTGCTGCCTTCTCCCTCGATGGATGAGTGTCTTTGAGGTGCAGCAACCCATGGCATGGAGCTGGGAAGCTGGGAAACAATTCAAGGAGCTGCTTCAGGGCTGTGAGCTGGAATGTACCTGCTGATTCCACCCCCAAACCGGCGCCTCCAGCCTGGGAGAACTGGGCTGCCGAGCCTTCTGCTGGAGTTCACTCCTGATGTGTTTTTATGGGGAGTCTGAGCTCAGGTCCATCCTGTTTGGATTCCAGAGAACTCGTGCAGGCTGTCAGGGGCGTTTCTCCACATTCCCAGGCATTTGCGTGGGGCTTGGTGCTGACAGTGCTGCTGTTGGAAGGGCTGCCAGCAGATCCCAGCTGGAGGCACCATCCCAGCTGGAGGCACCATCCCAGCTGGAGGCACGGCTCCATCCCATCCCGGGAGCTGCTGGCAGGGGGGACCCTGCTGTGGGAGAGGTGTTAACTCAGCAAATGGCCCAGGGACTTTCTGATTAGGAAAACATTTGCTGGGGTTTCAGGCAGGAGCCTTGATTGCACAGAGGTGTTTGGAAGGAGCTGATGGACTCGGAGCCTGCTTCCTGGAGGGATCTGGGTGTGCTTTCCAGTTTATCCCAGCGTGGAGGCTCTTGGAGGCACCCAGCCTCCTGCTGGGTGCCTCATTGCTCTGTACTCCAGCCTCTTCCTGTCCCCTCAGCAACACCCAGCAGGGTCCAGTGGATTCATCCCAAATTTCTGTCAGTCACCTGCCCTCCCAGACCTGCTTTTTTGCAGGATGGAGGCAGGAATTGGGCTGCACAGGGAACCTGAAACCCTGGGGCTGAGCTTTGACTTGAGGCTCTGGGAAGTGTTGGCTGTGCTGTGCTGGCCAAGTCCTGCCTTGTGTCTGGAAAATTATCCCTGGACTCCATGATTCTCCATCACATTGCCTTCCCCAAGCTGTTGCTGAGCTCCTCTCAGGTTTCCCTGCTTCCCTGGGTGAATTGATCCCTGTGGTTAGATTTGGTGGAGTGCTGGGATGCTTTGTGTTTGCATGGAGGTGGGATGGGTTGGGAACCATCCCGGTCCCTAGGCCAGGCACAGTGGCCACATCCAGGGCCCTGGTGGGGTCAGAAACCTGTTTTTTGAGTCTGTTTAGCAGAATCTGCCATTTAGGTGCTTAATCCTGAAATCCTTGTGTTTGGGTTTGTTCTCTCTTGTGTCCCCCCTGCCCTGAGCCCTGCAGAGAGCTGGAGGATGGGGGAGGATGGGGGAATCTTCCCTGTGCTCCCATGGGATCCAAGGGCTGAAAACTCCGTGCCGGCTCCAGCGAAAAGTTAATGTGAATTTAAGTGACTTCTGCCCTGCAATTAGAGCCCCCGGAGTCCACTGGGGCTCTGAGTTTACATTCTTCACCGAGGCACAGGGTGTAATTAGAGATGTATAATTTAAACTGTGCATATGCAAGTGTTCCCATTCTGCACCAGGAGCAAAGGAAATTATCCAGGAATTAAAGGGGGAGGAGGGTGCAGGCTGGAGAATGGAGAATGGCTCACTTGTGTGGATGTGGCAGTGAGAGGAAGCTGCAGGGATCATGTCCTCACTGCTGCAGGCAGATTTGGAAGGGGCAGGATCTGGAAATTTGGAGGGTTCTGGATTGGGATGTGAAGATGTGGCTGTAATTGGGGGTCAGGAGTGAATTCCTGCCAGGGGATAGCTGGGACCTGCGTGGCAGTGCCAGGGGACAGTAAGGACCTGCATAGTAATGCCATGGAACAGCAGAGAGCTGCCCTTCCAGCTCCTAGGAACCTGTCTAACATTCCCTCTCTTTTCTTGCAGCCACTTCCAATGGCACTCTGGATGGCCTGGAGAACCGGGAGGGAGGGGTCTGCCAGACACGCTCCATGAAGATTGTCATGAAAGTGGGGCAGGGTGAGTCCTCCCATTCCCTGGGGTCTCCTGCTGCCCCCTGAACCAGGGTCCCTGCTCCTCTGGGGAATGTGGGAGTTCAGGATTGCAGGGAAACTGAGGCCAGGCCAGCTGCTCCTGGGAGCACTCTTGGGTTAGTTCAACAGAATTTCATTTTTAGGATCTTTCTTCCTGCCTTTTTTGTCCTGCCAACAGGGCGCATGTGCGGAGCACTGGGGTTGAAAGGGAGCGATTGTTCCCGGTTACCTCGTGGGCCATATCCCAGCGGGAAGTGAGCTCAGCACAGGACCCATGAGCCCTGCAACTGTCTCAGGGGGACTGGCACAGGCAGTGCCCCTGTCACTTTCTGGGCCTCCTAGGGAGGCTTGTAGCTGGCCAGGCATCAGGGATTTGGCTCGGTGGCTCTCATCTCTGGAGGCCACCAGGCTGTGGGGACTCTGGTGGCAGTGGGATCCCAGGGGTGTCATCAACGGGCTCTTCTCCTGGAGTTCCTGCTCCTCACCACCTCCATCCCAAGCTGCTTCCCAGCCCCATTGATGCCTCGGCCTCATTTCAGCCCCGACTCGGATGCGCAGCTCCTGATTCTGCTTCTCATTATTGTGTTTGCACGTTGGGGCCAATATTTATAATAAACAGGCAAAGCTGTGCTGCAGCCTTGGCCTCCTGCCTGCCCTTCCCTTCCTTTCCTCCTGCTGCCCGAGCAAGAAACCTGTCCCAGCCCACGCACGGGAGCTCTGCAAACAGCAAACCAGGGAATTAGGGTGGGGACCTGCTTCCCACAAGCCCTGGAGCAGCTCAGCCTTGCTCTGTTGCTCTCGGCATCTCCCAGTGCTCCTGTGCCCCATGGGAGTGGCTGACAAGTGGGGGCACTTCTTTAGGGGGGAACAAGGTGCTGCCTTCCAGGTTGGGCCAAGGCTTCTCATGCATCCCTCCTCTCCCCTTTCCCAGATCCCAACGCGGTGATCCCAGAGCAGCTGACGACGAGTCGGCCGAGCAAGGAGTCGGATGACACCGTGAAGGTCGTCACGCAGAGCCCGCGCAGCAAGGTCCCAGCAGTGGAGGAGCCTGGCAAGCCAGGTGGGTATTCAGGGATCCCCAGGAGAGGGATGGGCATCCTCTGCCTGCCATGGGGCCAGTGAAGCACCTCCAAGTTTAGCTTGTTGCATGGATCCCAGGGATACCAGACTCTCCGGATCCGGGAGCTGGATGGGTCTGCTTTAAGTGTTGTGCTCATGTCTGCTGTCCCAAGCCCAGGCTGCAGAGCAGCTTGGGTTTGTTTCCTCAGCTCCTGGCAGAGCTTGGCAGAGAAGTGCTGTTTCAGCACTCTTCCTCCTCCTCCCATGTGTTCCTCACAGCACATCTGAGAGGGCTTGGAGGAGGTGAGGTCCTTGGGTGTGAGAGCCCTTTGAAGGTGGTTTCCTGAGTTCCTGACCCCTCTGAGAGCAAAATGGAATCAGATGAAGCTGGGAAATTTTTCTTTTCTTCCTGCCTGGATCAGCCTCTGAGCACTGCCCCTGTAGGGGCTGCAGCTGCTCCGGCCCAGGGGTCAGTAATTGGAGACTGGGGGGCCCTGGGTGTCAGAGTCCACATTCACCAGGGCACCCTGGTCTGGAATGGTGTCACCTGGACACAATCAACACTCTGCTCCATAGGCTGGGAGATGGGAAGGGGAGCAGTGGTGCAGGATGGAGAACAGGGCATGTGGTGCCTCCTCTGTGGATGCCTGGGGCTCCTGCCTGCCCTGCCCTGTCCTTCCCAGGGATGTGTGGGTCTGACTGGGGTGGGAAGGTGGGGACCAAGTGCCGTCCCCTTGGAGATGAGGGACTCCCCTCCTTGGGAGCACGGCAGGAGAATATTGTGCTGAGTTTGGGGGGCAGAGAGGAGCTCCAATGAGCAACTCATCCCCCTGCTCCACAGGTGTGATCCATGCATGGACAGAGCACAGATCTGCTGCCTCTCTGACCCCCATCTCCCCTTGCCTTGCAGGCTCTGTCAACCAGGACGGCCAGGAGACCCAAGGTCCCAGCGATGGCTTCCTGAGCTCCAAGGTGGCCGTGTTCGCGGCCATCGGCGCCGGCTGCGTCATCTTCATCCTCATCATCATCTTCCTCGTCGTGCTCCTGATCAAGATCCGCAAGCGGCACCGGAAGCACACGCAGCAGCGAGCCGCAGCCTTGTCCCTCAGCACCTTGGCCAGCCCCAAATGCAGCGGGAACGCGGGCTCAGAGCCCAGCGACATCATCATCCCCTTACGGACTACAGAGAACAACTACTGCCCGCACTACGAGAAGGTGAGCGGGGACTACGGGCACCCCGTCTACATCGTGCAGGAGATGCCCCCGCAGAGCCCAGCCAACATTTACTACAAGGTGTGAGGAGCAGCCTGGGAACGGCCGATGCAGCAGCGCGGGAGCGCCGGGCGCGGGGCTGGCGCCGCAGGGAGGAAGCGAAACGTTCCCCCCGCCCTGGCACGGCGCGGGCAGCGCCGGGAGCGGCGCCGGGGAGCGGAGGGCTCAACGCTCACGTGCTGATTCTCCCCTTTGTATTTAGTTTTGTAGTTCTCAGCTTTTGTAATCCCGAGACTCTGAGGGTGAGCCTTCAGCCTCCTCCTCTTCTTCTTCAGACTGTGGCCGGCCGTGGGGGGCGGGCGCCGTGCCTTTCTGTGCTCGGGACACCGCTGGCAAACCCGGAGACTCCACCTCCCCTTTGCGGTTTGGGATTTCCCCGCGTCACCCCTCCGGGCCTGTGGGAAGTGCCCGCCAGCGCCGCAGGGTCCCGGAGCCTGGAGCGATGCCGGGGCCTCGGTCCCAGGAGCAGCGAGCGCACAGGGGGATGAGGAGGAGGAGGAGGATGCTTTGCCATGGTGCCAAGATGCAGACAACTGTGCAGGGAGGAAGCTGGCAAACCCAATTTACTACTACTACTATTATTATTATTATAATAATTATTTTAATTTTTTTGTAACATTTTTATTTTTGTGAATTCCGGGCGGGACTCCGGCCCGCCACCTCTGGGCACACGCTATCACCTCCTTCCAGCACGTCATCCTGCCGGCCACGGGGCAGATCCCGCTCCCCCCACTGCCCCTGGAAACTTTTGTGTTTGTAGCTGTTGACTCTTGTTTTAGTCTCTTTATAAAAAGAAAGAAAGAAAAAAAAATTTCTATCTCCACCCTGTCTCAAGCGTTCAGTGCACGAAGGGCTGGACGCTGCTCCTGCCCCACACTGAGCAGCCGTGGCCTGGCAGCTCTTCCCAGCCCTTCTGGAGCATCCCACTGTGGAAAAAAGCCTTTGGCTTTCCATCAGGCTGGGGCTGAGCCTGCTGGAAGCAAAGCAGGGGGAAGCTGCAGCCCCCTCCCAAGCTGGGCATACTGCAGGTGGTTGTCCTTGGAAAGGAAAACTGGAAAACAAAGGTTCCCAACTTGCAGCTTGTGCCAGGAGTGTCAGAAGGAGGCTGGTGCTCGAGATTGGAGGCACCCAAGAGGCTGGAGCACCAAGCTTGGCTTGGTTGGGAGCTGAGCCAAAGGCTCTTCCACCCTGGTTTACCTGAAGAATCCAGTGCCCCTCGGTGGGACGTGCTTAGGGGACCAGCCCCACTGTGCCTGTTCCCTGCCCTGCTCCTGGTGCAGGAGCATTCCCTGTCCTGCCACCTCCCAGGGGTCCCCAGCCTGGGCTCCCCTGCCCTTGCCTTGCCCATCTCCCACCCAAAACTGGAAGGGGTTGAGCCTGTCTGGTGGGATCATTCCCAGCTTCCTCCTCCCGGGAGGAGCCGCCAGCATCGCGGCTGATGCCAGTGAGCCCAGCAGGGCTGGCAGTGCCCTGTCACTGCCTGTCCTCGGGCTGTCCCCCTTCCTCAGTTTCTTTTCCTTCCAGCAGTAGCTGCTTTTGCTCAGGGAGCAGGAGTGGGGCCGGCAGGGCTGTTCCTGCCTGGGCTGTTCCCGCCTGTCCCCAGGGCCCCAATCCCGCGTTAGGAAGTGCCCAAAGAGCGAGGGAGCTGCTCTGCTAAAGTGCCTTGACAAGGAGCGGGCGGGACGGGGGCAGAGCAGGGACAGGGGCCGTGGCCTGGGAGGATCTGGTGACCTGGGGGGACCCGGTGGCCCCGGGGGGATCTGGTGGCCCGGCTGCTGTGCAGGGGTTTGGCCCTGAGCGGGATGGGAGCATCCTGTGGTGTCACGTTGTTGGGTTTAGGGCAGGAATTTGGGCTGGAGCGGAGCGGGATGTCCCAGCTCCCCTCCTGCCCTTGGCATCCTGAGGTGGTTCTGCTTCCAGGGCCCCAAACCGGCTGCTTCCCTCGGGAGAGATGCACCCCAGTGGGTGCTCCCCCTATTCCCCATCCCAGCACTGCTTCCCCCGTGTAGCACCTTCCATCCCTCTCTCCCCTGTGGGATCCACTGCCCATCCTGGCCTGGGAGCCGCCCCCACCAGGACCCCCATTCCCCAGCGGGGAAATCCCAGAGAATTGTGTCTTAAAAAAATCCCCTTTCCCTCTTCCCTTTGCCAAACCTTAGCCTGTGTTTCCCCAAGTGGGAGGAGCCCTGGCTGGATGGTGGTGGCAGTGGTGATGGTGACAGTGACAGTGGAATCCATTAGGAATAGTGACCGGAGTGGAGGGGGAAGTGAGGGGACAATGTCGTTTTGGTTTGGTTTTGGTGGAGAAGGGACAGAGTCTGGCCACAGGTTGTACCAAAAGTGATCTGACACTGCTGATGGCTTCTCATGGTGGTTGTCCCCAGCTGAGGTCTCCATCAGTCCCACTCCTGCTGCTGGGAACAGCTGCAAAATCTTGTAAATATGTGAAGAAAGGGTGAAATCAGAACTCTTGGTTTTTGCTGAGCACCTCGGGCTGCTGGGTCCTGGATCAGCGTGTGTCGGTCGGGTTCTTTTCTTGGAAAGCATTGAAATTTGGTTGATTTTCCTTTTTTAATTTTTTTTTTTTTTATTTTTTTGTTTCCCCCCCCCCTCCTTTTGTTTGTGTAAATACTAGTCTTTTTTGGAAGAATACTGTAAAGATGTTTTGTATAAACTCCGAATTATTTTCTGGTTGCTTTTTCTTAGAAAAACAAATGAGAACTTAAAAAAAAAAGATGAAAAAAAAAGAAATTTTAACCACAAGAACGGGTGTAAAACATTGTCATAGAGCTCAGCCTGGAGCCTGTGGGCTGTGCTGGAGTGTGGGAACTGCCGGGATCAGGACTGGGGACCTGCCCTCAGTATAATGCAGGATCAGATGGGCTCCAAGCAGAGAGTGAGACAGGAATATGTGATTCTGTTCCATCCCAGAATCTGTGGCTCATTCCCAGAGCTCTGAGCCCTGTCCTGGCCACAGGCAGAGACTTGGGGACCACATGGTGATCTAAAGGTGATCTAAAGGTGATCTAAAATTTATCTGCTTTCGTACTTTAACCAAAAAATCCCTGACTTGGGGATGCAGAACTCAATGCAACATCCTGAGATCCTGCTCTGCTTTTCTGGGCCTGTGGAGCTGCTCCTGGTGCAGATCCCTTTCCCAACTATCCCATTTTGTGTTTGCCTATTTCGCTTGCCAACTGCCAGCTCACCATGGCCCCATCTCTTCTTGGTGCCAGGGCTGGGATGGCTTCTCCTTAGCCGTGCCCAGTGCAGGGTCCCTGCCCAGGGGTGGTGGCCGTGCCTGGAGCCATCTGTGGTGTCACATGGCCCTTGTTGTGGGCAGCTGGAAGGCATCAGGGAGCCCCCAGTTGCCCCAGTTGCTCCCAGGAGCTGGGCTCTGAACCTGCATTATATTGACAGAGGTTTCTGGGAGGTTCCAGAGGTGCTGGAGCAGGGATGGACAATCCCTCTCTCCATCCCGGCAGCGCCGCGCCCCCGCACGTCCCTCCCGCGCTCCCACATTTCAGAGCTGTACCACCTCCACATCCCACAGCGTCACATCCGCACCGTCCCTGTCCTGAGGGGCCTGGCCCTGCCATCAACCAGCTGGGACTGCCACGGCCCCACGCCTGTGCCACCACCGGAGCAGCCGGGCTGACAGATTTTCCCTGTCCACCCTGCGCTGCCCTTAGCCCAGGGGTGGATACGGAGCCCGGCCGTGCTCCTGGTGCAGGGCGCGCGGGATGGGGCTGGGGCCGAGCGGGAATGGTTGGGAACGGGCACAGGGGGAGCCAGCCCCTCTGTGCTGGCACCTCCTCGGCTCCAGCCTTGGCATCCCCATGCTGGTTGATCCTCCTCGGCTCCCGGTGGGGCTCCGGCGGTGCCGGGATCCCCTCGGCCGCGCTCCCGGCGCCGCAGATTTTCTTTCTTCGTGTCATGATCCTGGTTTTGATTCCTTTCGCCTTCTCCCAGCTCTCCCGCCCAGTAGCATATCATCGGCATCGGTAACAGCTCTGTGGCAGCCGAACTCCATGGAGCCGTGATGGAACCTGATATATTGTTAAATAAAAGGGTTTTTTTCCTATGGAATCCTGGCTGTCTCCTGTGTGCTTTATTCCTGCCCTAGGTTTGAAACTGCAACTGAGCTGAAGAGATCTGGAAAGAGTTGGCTGGGACAGATCCTCACCAGCAGGTCCTGGAAGGACCTGGTGGATTTGGTTTAGTCAGGAAAAATTGGGAGATTTTTGTTCAGTATTTACAGCATGGAACTGTCAGGATTGCATGAACTCAGGGTTGGATATGGTTGGACACTCCATAGATATGGTTGGACCTGATGATCTTAAAGGTCTTTTCCAATCCAAACGATTTTGTGTTTCCATGGCTCTGTCCCTGCAGCTGCAGGCTCCTGGGAGCCACTGGATTCCCCTCAGGTGTGAGGGGCTGCTCCTGTGCTCTGGAGCAGGCAGAGCCTGGGAGCTGCTGGTGGCACAGGACAGGGATGTCCCATTCCTGGCAGGAATGAGCTGCTCCAGACAGGCACAGGGAAATGCAGGAAGGGAGTGAGGCTGGCTCCTCCTCACGCTGGAGTTGCTTTAGGAGAGGATGGAGTCATGGAAGTTCTGCCTGGTGCAAACCACACCTGCTCCAGTCCAGGTTGTCCTGTCAGGAATTGTGGGTGCTGGATTCTGGGGTGACCACAGGGGTATGGGAGGGAATGGGTCTGGTTTATGGGATCTTGAAGTGGGGCTGAGGCACCAACCTCACCAAGAGAGGCTGGAGAAAACTCATCCAACCTGGAGGCCTGAGGTGGGACTTGGAGATGGACCACAGTGGGATGGTTCAGAGCTGCTTGGGCTCAAGCAGAACCTCTGGGACCATGCCAAGAGCCTGCTGGAGTGAGCGGGGAATGCCGGCATGGGGGTCAGGATGGGGGGCCCTGGGGTGCACCAGCTGGGCTCAAATGTGGTTTGCTGGTTTGAAAACCCTCCCTCTCTGCGTGCTTTGATCCCAGTGGGAATGAAATAAGGCTTTTAATTCTAAACAGCTTCGCCGGGCCCTGATGCCTGCAGGGAGAACTGGAAGTGCCAAACGTGCTGGGACCTGCCAGCAGAGGGAAAAGTGCTTTAACAGGCTCCTGGAACCCACCCCCGGCTCTGGGGCTGCTGTGGGTGGGACCAGCACGGACTGGGGGGTGCAGAGCCTGTGAGCCCCACGGGTCACTCCTGGTGCTCCATGTGTGCCCTAAGGTGGCTGCAGAGGGGTTCCGTGGACAGGGATGTGCTGGAGCTGCTTCTCCTCCTGATCCCTCCGCAGTGTGAGATCCTGCAGAAGTCCCCGTGCTGGGAAAGGTTTGGTTGGGAGCACCATTGTCCCTGTTTGTGGTGGGAGGGGACATCAAACCCTGCTGCCAGTCAGTGCCCACGGGGACATGGGAGCCAAGGCCGTGTGGTGGCTCTGCTCTGCTCCCAGGGGCCAGCTGGCAGTGAGGGATCAGCAGGATCCTACCCAGGAACCTCTGGATCTGGAAAGTTCATTAAAGCTGCAGAGCTGCTGATGGTTTTGGATGTCCATCAGGACTGGAGGAGTTATTTTAATTATTTCACATAAAGGAGGTTTTTGTCGAGTTTATTAACTCGCCCTTGGCTGGATCCCACTCGGGAGTGGGGCGGCTGCCAGGCCGGCAGAGCTGGAGCGTTTGGGGGGATTGGGATGCTGGGGGTGACCATGTCCCTGGTGCAGGAGTGTTTGGGGGGATTGGGACTTCTGGGGGTGACCATGTCCTTGGTGCAGGAGTGTTTGTGGGATCAGGATACTCGGAGGCGCCATGTCCCTGGTGC